GTGATGGCCAGAACATGTGTTGCTGTAGCGGCCAGGACCCAGGCTCTGTGATGGCCAAGACATGTGTTGCTGTAGCGGCCACGACCCAGGCTCTGTGATGGCCAGGACATGTGTTGCTGTAGCGGCCACGACCCAGGCTCTGTGATGGTCAGGACATGTGTTGCTGTAGCTGCCACGACCCAGGCTCTGTGATGGCCAGGACATGTGTTGCTGTAGCGGCCACGACCCAGGCTCTGTGATGGTCAGGACATGTGTTGCTGTAGCGGCCACGACCCAGGCTCTGTGATGGTCAGGACATGTGTTGCTGTAGCTGCCACGACCCAGGCTCTGTGATGGTCAGGACATGTGTTGCTGTAGCGGCCACGACCCAGGCTCTGTGATGGTCAGGACATGTGTTGCTGTAGCGGCCACGACCCAGGCTCTGTGATGGCCAGGACATGTGTTGCTGTAGCGGCCACGACCCAGGCCCTGTGATGGCCAGGACATGTGTTGCTGTAGCGGCCACGACCCAGGCTCTGTGATGGTCAGGACATGTGTTGCTGTAGCGGCCACGACCCAGGCTCTGTGATGGCCAGGACATGTGTTGCTGTAGCGGCCACGACCCAGGCTCTGTGATGGTCAGGACATGTGTTGCTGTAGCGGCCACGACCCAGGCTCTGTGATGGCCAGGACATGTGTTGCTGTAGCGGCCACGACCCAGGCTCTGTGATGGCCAGGACATGTGTTGCTGTAGCGGCCACGACCCAGGCTCTGTGATGGCAGACATGTTGCGTACGCCACGACCACTGTGATGGCGACATGTGTTGCTGTAGCGGCCACGACCCAGGCTCTGTGATGGTCAGGACATGTGTTGCTGTAGCGGCCACGACCCAGGCTCTGTGATGGTCAGGACATGTGTTGCTGTAGCTGCCACGACCCAGGCTCTGTGATGGTCAGGACATGTGTTGCTGTAGCGGCCACGACCCAGGCTCTGTGATGGTCAGGACATGTGTTGCTGTAGCGGCCACGACCCAGGCTCTGTGATGGTCAGGACATGTGTTGCTGTAGCGGCCACGACCCAGGCTCTGTGATGGTCAGGACATGTGTTGCTGTAGCTGCCACGACCCAGGCTCTGTGATGGTCAGGACATGTGTTGCTGTAGCTGCCACGACCCAGGCTCTGTGATGGTCAGGACATGTGTTGCTGTAGCTGCCACGACCCAGGCTCTGTGATGGTCAGGACATGTGTTGCTGTAGCGGCCACGACCCAGGCTCTGTGATGGTCAGGACATGTGTTGCTGTAGCTGCCACGACCCAGGCTCTGTGATGGCCAGGACATGTGTTGCTGTAGATAGATTTCCCTGAATCAAGGTATTGTAGTTCCTTGAATTGGCTGTCAATTGATGTAGATAATGACAGTAAAGGAAATGATTCTGGAAAAGTTTTTCAAGAAAAGTTTATACGGCTTGTACCAACAGCCTAGTTGATCAAACCATGCACCAGAAGGCCTAGTTTGGGCCCGGACATCGGGGGTGTTGACCCTCTGAACACTCTCCTGATAGGCTGCTGCAGAGTCGTGGTCACACGTATCACTTGTAGCAGTTTATGCTGGTCATTAAAGAGCAAGGTATCCGCCTGTATCTACTTTATATTATCAGAATTTATATATTTGCCGAGAAATGTTTAACACAGCTGCTGAGGTGGTCGTAAGAACTGTGACACCACAGTTGAGCAACTCTGATAGATTTTCCCTACAAGTTGATGGGTTAGTTGACAGCAAAATTATTACCGTTCGCTTCGTGTATAATGAAATAAACATGACTGCATGTCTACGATAAAGTCATTCAGATAAGCGTGGTTCTGCAGGCTTGCTAGATGCTGTCTTGATTAAGCAGCCTTGGTATCAAGGACGTGGTGAAGAAGTTGACAACCATGACAACTGATGACTTAATATTGCGTGTGCTGGGCAGCCCATTGTTCTCAGACCAGTGTGCTAGCTCACTGGTCTGACTTAGTATTTTCTGATCTAGAATCACCGGACGTCTGTGGGTGTAATGTCCACAGGTGTGGGTGTAATGTCCACAGGTGTTGGTGTAATGTCCACAGGTGTGGGTGTAATGTCCACAGGTGTGGGTGTAATGTCCACAGGTGTGGGTGTAATGTCCACAGGTGTGGGTGTAATGTCCACAGGTGTGGGTGTAATGTCCACAGGTGTGGGTGTAATGTCCACAGGTGTGGGTGTAATGTCCACAGGTGTGGGTGTAATGTCCACATGTGTGAGTGTAATGTCCACAGGTGTGGGTATAATGTCCACAGGTGTGGGTATAATGTCCACAGGTGTGGGTATAATGTCCACAGGTGTGGGTATAATGTCCACAGGTGTGGGTATAATGTCCACAGGTGTGGGTGTAATGTCCACAGGTGTGGGTATATGTCCACAGGTGTGAACATTATAACCACAGACGTCCGGTGATTCTAGATCAGAAAATACAAAGTCAGACCAGTCAGATATCCAACACACACAGAATACTAAGTCAGATCAGGAGTATACCTGGAGGGTACTCCTAGGGTCAACGCCCCTGCGGTCCATTCTGTGACCAGGCCTCGTGGTGGATCAGGGCCTGATCAACCAGGCTGTTGCTGCTGGCCTCACGTAAACCAACGTACAAGCCACAGCCCGGCTGGTTATATACTGACTTTAGGTGCTTGTCCAGCGCCTTCTTGAAGACAGCCCGGGATATATTGGTAATCCCACTTATGTATGCTGGGAGGCAGTTAAACAGTCTTGGGCCCCTGACATTTATTGTGTTGTCTCTTACCGTACTCATGGCACCCCTATTTTTCATTGGAGGGATGTTGCACCACCTGCCGAGTCTTTTGCTTTCGTAGGGAGTAATATCCGTGTGCAGATTCGAGACTAGTCTCTCTAGCATTTTCAAAGTATATATTATCATGTATCTTTCTCGCCCCCGCTCCAAGGAGTGCAGGTCAATGGACTTCAGCCGTTCCCAGTAAATTTGGTATTTTTTTTTTATAATTATATGTACAGTGACAGTTCTCTGTATATTCTCCAGGTCTGCACTTTCGCGTGCCTTGAAAGGGACCGGTAGTGTACAGCAATATTCCAGCCTAGAGAGAGCAACCGATTTGAAGAGAATCATCATAGGCTTGGCATCCTTATTTTTGAAGGTTCTCATTATCCATCCTATCATTTTCCTAGAAGATGTGGTAGATGCATTGTTGTGATTTTTGACAGTGAGATTCTCTGACATTATCACCCCCAAGTCCACATTACTTTTTCGCTCTATTGTGTGGTTAGAATTTGTTTTATACTCCGATCCAGTTTTTGAGTGAGTTTTCCATAGCGGAGTAATTAATTTGTCTTCATTGAACTTCATATTGTTTTCTGAGACTTGGGTAATGTCCGCTTGGAGATTTACAGTGTCCTAAATGGATGACACTGTCATGCAGATTTTAGTATTGTCAGCAAAAAAGGATAAGGTGCTGTGGCTTACATCTTTGTCTATGTCAGATATGAGGATGAACAGGATGGGAGCGAGTACTGTACCTTATGGAACAGAGCTTTTCACTGTAGCCGCCTCTGTTTACTATTACACTTTGCATTCTATTTATAAGGAAGCTATATATCCATCTACCCACTTTCCTGTTATTCCTTTATCATGCATTTTGTGTGCTATTGCACCATGATCGCGCTTGTCGAAGGCTTTCGCAAAGTCTGTGTATACTAAATCTGCATATTGTTTGTCCTTCAGTGCATCCAAATAGTTGTGAGAGGCAGGAGCAGCTTGCTCTAAACCTATGCTGCCCTGGGTTGTGCAATTGTTGGGTATCTAAGTGGTTGGCGACCTTACTTCTTAGAACTCTTTCAAAGATTTTTATGTGGGACGTTAGTGCTCTCGTTCTGTAATTCTTTGCACTGCCACCTTTGTGGAGTGGGGCTATGTCTGTTGTTCTTAGTGACCATGGAATGACCCATGTGTCTATGATCCCTCTCTATAGAATATTTAAGGTATGTGAAAGGGTTTCTTGCAGTTCTTGAAGAACACGGAATTCCACGAGTCTGGGCCTGGGGCAGAGTGCATGGCCATGTCATTGCTTTTTCAAAGTCCTGTAGTGTTAGGATTATATCAGAAATTCTTGAATTTACCAAATTTTGAGTGTCATAAAAATTAATTTAGATTGTCTGATTAACGGCTCACGAAACTTAAATATCTCACTCATTTCTTTGCTGACATCTAAGTCCCATCTCTGAACCATTCATCTACAAGTCCCATCTCGTTGAAGCAGGATTTCAATACTGGATGTGGTTTTTGCCCTAGATTTGGCATAAATAAAATATATATGTTATTAATTTAAGTTCTTCCCGTGTTTCTTGGCTCCTGTATGATTCCTTAAGCTTAAGTTCGATATTTGTTATTTCTCTGGCCAGTGCCTCCTTCAGCATTTCGGATATATGGGCCCCCTTTCAGCAGCTCTGTGATTCTTCACCTTCACCTGTGGAGGGAGCATCCCTCTCTTTCTAGTTTTCATCTTCTCTTCTTTTTTCTTAGGAGAATGTGTCTTGAGCATACCTCTAGTGCCACAGAGTTAATTCTTCCTAGGCACAGGTTCGGATCCATGTTCTTTAGGATATCTTCCCAGTTTTTTTCATTTAGGACATAGATAATTTGATTCCACTGTATGTTTTTGTTATTGAAGTTAAATTTGGTGACGGCGCCCTCATGATAGATCTCATTTTGTTGATGTAGGTATAATGTCCACAGGTGAGGGTATAATGCCCACATTATACTCGATAAGTTTTTAATAATAACAGTGTTCTGAGGCTGGAACTTTTATCAAGTCATAACTGGGTAAAGTTTGTTGTATACAGTGTGTTATAATGAGTGCAATGTGTGCACTCATTATAACGTGACTATTGAATTAGGTCACTGGAGCAGAGTGCTGCTAACGACCCAGGTATATTGCTAACGACCCACTAAGCTGCAGTTATCTTTGTTTCAGTTGGTTGCGAACAGCGTGATGGCAGCCGCAGTGAACATGACGGGGGTGTGGCTGCAGCAGCTGATGCAGGCGGCACAGCGCAAAGCCTTCCTGGACACACGCAACTGTATAGCTGCCAGACTCCAGATGGAAGATGAGAACGACAAACTGGTAGGTGATCAACCATTTGTTGTCTCTTACTTTGGTGTATGTACTCTGAGGTGTGTGTGTGTGTGTGTGTGTGTGTGTGTGTACTCACCTGTTTGTGGTTGCAGGGATCAGTTCACAGCTCCTGGCCCCGCCTCTTCGCTGGTCGCTATTGGGTCACTCTCTTCCTGCTCCATGAGCTTTATCATATCTCTTCTTACAGCTATGTATGGATCCTGCCTCCACTACATCAATCTCCAGGTTGCTCTACTTCCGACAACTCTATGACTGAAGAAATATTTTCTAATATCTCTGTGACTTATCTTAGTTTTCAACTTCCGGTTGTGACCCCTTGTTGCTGTGTAACATTTCTAATGTGTGTGTGTGTGTGTGTGTGTGTGTGTGTGTATGTGTGTGTGTGTGTGTGTGTGTGTGTGTGTGTGTGTGTGTGTGTGTGTGTGTGTGTGCGCGCACACACACACACACACGCACACACACACACGCGCACATACACATGCACACAGGCCTAGTGTCTAATCGACATGTGCCTAGGACAAAATGGTAACTAACACACACACACACACACACACACACACACTTCGACCCCTGCAGCCACATATAGGTGAGTATTACCACCGATATGTATTAATATATATATATATATATATATATATATATATATATATATATATATATATATATATATATATATATATATATGTATTGCCAATACATAGATATATTTTTCAATAAATTTATCTAAAATCATATTTAAGATTTACTGGTATAGGAAGATATCACTGATATGAAGGTTAACCCCCCCCCGTAGCGTAGGTTACAGCAAGCATTGTGTAGTGTAGGTTACAGAAGTGCGGGCTCAGAGAGTAGATAAACTCTCGAAACTCTTCAAAGGTATATCAAGTTTGTAGTGAAGGTCACAGCAAGCAGTGTGTAATGTAGGTCACAGCAAGCAGTTTGTAGTGGAGGTCACAGCAAGCAGTGTGTAGTGTAGGTTACAGCAGTGTGTAGTGTAGGTCATAGCAAGCAGTGTGTAGTGTAGGTTACAACATGTGTAGTGTAGGTCACAGCAAGCAGTGTGTAGTATAGGTTACAGCAGTGTGTAGTGTAGGTCACAGCAAGCAGTGTGTAGTGTAGGTTACAGCATGTATAGTGGAGGTCACAGCAAGCAGTGTGTAGTGTAGGTTACAACATGTGTAGTGTAGGTCACAGCAAGCAGTGTGTAGTATAGGTTACAGCAGTGTGTAGTGTAGGTCACAGCAAGCAGTATGTAGTGTAGGTTACAGCATGTATAGTGGAGGTCACAGGTGTTGCTTGCGACCCTCAAACAACCATCACGTGATCATCTGACCGGGTCACTTGGTATTATAATTTGGTAATGTCTGAGGCGTGAGAATGTTACCTCAGGAAGGAAGGTTCAGAACTAAGTGCCAGGTACGTGGCAGTGTTTTCCTGACACAAACATCTTTCTTCACCAGTTAGCTTCCTGAGGTGTCCTGCTGATGCCTCAGCTTAAGCTGAATGTGGTTTCGCAGAGTCAGAATTGCAATCATTTTGGATGCAATACCATCAGTGTTGATGTTCGCATCGAAGAAAAGATCTAAAGTTTGGGTACAAGTTCTTGTGTTTCTGAATTATGGAACGTTTCTGCCAAAGTTTAATATGTTGCAACTCTTCAACATATAGACTATTTAACATGTTACATCAGAAACACTGCTGGAACAAGTGTAGAAGCCTTCACGAGGAAACTTGACAAGTATCTTCACCAGGTGTCAGATCAACCAAGCTGTGATGGATATGTGCGGCAGCGGGCCTCCAGCAGTAACAGCCTGGTTGACCAGGCGAGCACCAGACGAGCCTGGTCCATGGCCAGGCTCCGAGAGTAGTGAAACTCGAAGCTCGTCAAAGGTGTAATGGTAAGGGGGACTGCCAGTACACGTCTGGCTGTCTTCAAGAAGACGCTGGAGAGGCACTACTGTCAGTACCTGACCAGCCCATCTGTCGTTCCTACGTTCGTTTACTTGCGGTCGGCAGTAACAGCCTGGTTGATCAGACACTGATCTACCACGAGGTCTGGTCACGGACCAGGCCACAGGGGCGTTGACCCCCGAAACTCCTTCCAGGTATACCCCAGGTATACTTCAGGTATACTCAAGGTATCACATCTACGTTTTAGTTTTCTTCAACGCCTGAGTAATCGTGTCAGTGGTTGAGCAGCTGTGACTGGCATCATGGTCCTGCTGTAAACCATGCTGGCTCAGGTTATGCAGCTGTGACAGGCATCATGGTCCTGCTGTAAACCATGCTGGCTCAGGTTATGCAGCTGTGACAGGCATCATGGTCCTGCTGTAAACCATGCTGGCTCAGGTTATGCAGCTGTGACAGGCATCATGGTCCTGCTGTAAACCATGCTGGCTCAGGTTATGCAGCTGTGACAGGCATCATGGTCCTGCTGTAAACCATGCTGGCTCAGGTTATGCAGCTGTGACAGGCATCATGGTCCTGCTGTAAACCATGCTGGCTCGGGTTATACAGCTGTGACAGGCATCATGGTCCTGCTGTAAACCATGCTGCTCAGGTTATGCAGCTGTGACAGGCATCATGGTCCTGCTGTAAACCATGCTGGCTCAAGTTATGCAGCTGTGACAGGCATCATGGTCCTGCTGTAAACCATGCTGGCTCAGGTTATGCAGCTGTGACAGGCATCATGGTCCTGCTGTAAACCATGCTGGCTCAGGTTATGCAGCTGTGACAGCATCATGGTCCTGCTGTAAAACATGCTGGCTCAGGTTATGCAGCTGTGACAGGCATCATGGTCCTGCTGTAAACCATGCTGGCTCGGGTTATGCAGCTGTGACAGGCATCATGGTCCTGCTGTAAACCATGCTGCTCAGGTTATGCAGCTGTGACAGGCATCATGGTCTTGCTGTAAACCATGCTGGCTCAAGTTATGCAGCTGTGACAGGCATCATGGTCCTGCTGTAAACCATGCTGGCTCAGGTTATGCAGCTGTGACAGGCATCATGGTCCTGCTGTAAACCATGCTGGCTCAGGTTATGCAGCTGTGACAGCATCATGGTCCTGCTGTAAACCATGCTGGCTCAGGTTATGCAGCTGTGACAGGCACCATGGTCCTGCTGTTAACCATGCTGGCGCAGGTTATGCAGCTGTGACAGGCATCATGGTCCTGCTGTAAACCATGCTGGCTCAGGTTATGCAGCTGTGACAGGCATCATGGTCCTGCTGTAAACCATGCTGGCTCAAGTTATGCAGCTGTGACAGGCATCATGGTCCTGCTGACAACCATGCTAGCTCAGGTTATGCAGCTGTGACAGGCTTCATGGTCCTGTTGTAAACCATGCTGCTCAGGTTATGCAGCTGTGACAAGCATCAAGGTCCTGCTGTAAACAATGCTGGCTCAGGTTATGCAGCTGTGACAGGCATCATGGTCCTGCTGACAACCATGCTGGCTCAGGTTATGCAGCTGTGACAAGCATCATGGTCCTGCTGTAAACCATGCTGGCTCAGGTTATGCAGCTGTGACAGGCATCATGGTCCTGCTGTAAACCATGCTGGCTCAGGTTATGCAGCTGTGACAGGCATCATGGTCCTGCTGACAACCATGCTGGCTCAGGTTATGCAGCTGTGACAGGCATCATGGTCCTGCTGTAAACCATGCTGGCTCAGGTTATGTAGCTGTGACAGGCATCATGGTCCTGCTGTAAACCATGCTGGCTCAGGTTATGCAGCTGTGACAGGCATCATGGTCCTGCTGTAAACCATGCTGGCTCAGGTTATGCAGCTGTGACAGGCATCATGGTCCTGCTGTAAACCATGCTGGCTCAGGTTATGCAGCTGTGACAGGCATCATGGTAATGCTGTAAACCATGCTGGCTCAGGTTATGCAGCTGTGACAGGCATCATGGTCCTGCTGTAAACCATGCTGGCTCAGGTTATGCAGCTGTGACAGGCATCATGGTCCTGCTGTAAACCATGCTGGCTCAGGTTATGCAGCTGTGACAGGCATCATGGTCCTGCTATAAACCATGCTGGCTCAGGTTATGCAGCTGTGACAGGCATCATGGTCCTGCTGTAAACCATGCTGGCTCAGGTTATGCAGCTGTGACAGGCATCATGGTCCTGCTGTAAACCATGCTGGCTCAGGTTATGCAGCTGTGACAAGGCATCATCGTCCTGCTGTAAACCATGCTGGCTCAGGTTATGCAGCTGTGACAGGCATCATCGTCCTGCTGTAAACCATGCTGGCTCAGGTTATGCAGCTGTGACAGGCATCATCGTCCTGCTGTAAACCATGCTGGCTCAGGTTATGCAGCTGTGACAGGCATCATGGTCCTGCTGTAAACCATGCTGCTCAGGTTATGCAGCTGTGACAGGCATCATGGTCCTGCTGTAAACCATGCTGGATCGGGTTATGCAGCTGTGACAGGCATCATGGTCCTGCTGTAAACCATGCTGCTCAGGTTATGCAGCTGTGACAGGCATCATGGTCCTGCTGTTAACCATGCTGGCTCAGGTTATGCAGCTGTGACAGGCATCATGGTCCTGCTGTAAACCATGCTGGCTCAGGTTATGCAGCTGTGACAGGCATCATGGTCCTGCTGTTAACCATGCTGGCTCAAGTTATGCAGCTGTGACAGGCATCATGGTCCTGCTGTAAACCATGCTGGCTCAAGTTATGCAGCTGTGACAGGCATCATGGTCCTGCTGTAAACCATGCTGGCTCAGGTTATGCAGCTGTGACAGGCATCATGGTCCTGCTGACAACCATGCTGGCTCAGGTTATGCAGCTGTGACAGGCATCATGGTCCTGCTGTAAACCATGCTGGCTCAGGTTATGCAGCTGTGACAGGCATCATGGTCCTGCTGTAACCATGCTGGCTCAGGTTATGCAGCTGTGACAGGCATCATGGTCCTGCTGTAAACCATGCTGGCTCAGGTTATGCAGCTGTGACAGGCATCATGGTCCTGCTGTTAACCATGCTGGC